AGCTGACTATGCCGAGACGCCGGCAACCACAGCCACTCGGTCTTGGAAGGGTTGAGCCTGAGTCTGTTCCTCCCCATCCAGACCCGTACGGCCTCCAGGCAACGGGCCATCACGTCAAGGGCATCGTTGGGGTGGCCTGGGGTGGAGATGTACAGCTGAGTGTCATCAGCGTACTGATGGAAATCCACCCCAAAGCCACAAATGATCTCCCCCAGCGGCTTTACATAAATATTGAACAAAAGGGGAGAGAGGACCGACCCCTGAGGCACCCCACAAGTTAGGGGTCTTGGGGTCGACCTCTGTCCCCCTGCCAATACAGACTGCGTACGGTCAGTGAGGAAGGAGGAGAACCACCGCATAACGGTGCCTCCCACTCCCAACTCACCGAGACGCCGCAGCATGATACCGTGGTCTACGGTATCAAAAGCCGCTGAGAGGTCCAAAAGAACAAGGACAGTGGAATACCCTCTGTCCCGGGCCCTCCAGAGATCATTAACCAACGCGACCAATGCCGTTTCCGTGCTGTGCCCCGGCCTGAAACCCGACTGGTATGGGTCTAGATCAGTGGTTCTCAACCTTTTTAATGCCGCGACCCCCCAACCGGTCGTAAGTCGAGGACTAAACCGGTCATAAGTCGAGGACTAAACCGATCGTAAGTCGAGGACTACCCAACCGGTCGTAAGTCGAGGACTTTCCCTGCCCGGGAGCGCCGCGCATGCGTGGTTCCGCCCCCCTGCGCTGGCCGAGGTGTAGCTGGCAAGTGGCAGAGACGGAGCAGGCCGACCACCAGCTGGCCCAGCCCAAGGGAGGTAAGGCACCCGCCGGAAAAGGGGAAAAAAATGGCGGACAGCCTTGCTTGGCGACCCCCATGAAATGGTCAATCGACCCCAAATGGGGTCCCGACCCACAGGTTGAGAACCACTCCAGATCTATCTGTACCTAGTACCCAGATCTATCTGGTACCTAGTACCGAGAGTGAAATAAAGGTTCTAGTATACAAAATCTAATCTTGGATTTTCCAAAATGAGGTCGATTTTTGTACTAGGTCTTTCAACACACTAGAGAATTTTTATTATTTATAACTTATTTTACTCGGTAAAACCATTTGTTTACGTGACAACGAAAAGTGATCATGGTGGAAGATCAATGATAAAATCAGTAGAGCGCATATCCCAGGGTCTGAGAAGGGAGGGAATGGCTGCTTTAGCCCAGATAGCCGTGGCCTGGTGACAGATGTGATAGGATGAGACTTGGTCGTCTGCTTGCTCCTTGCCACCACAACTTTCTGCGCATATCCATTGGACTCTATAGAGATGATTTTAAAAGAGCCTATTGATTTAGTTATGCTGGAAATATAAAATGAATGAGAAAGTATGTATTCATATGATATTGATTTGTTTTAGTAATGATTTATAGATAATCCTCAACTTAAGACCATAATGGAGCCTGCCCATCGCGATTATAAGTTGTGACAGTAGCAAAAGAGGATGGCCATGTGACTGACCAGATTTTTCCAACTATTTTTGTGGCAATTGTTAAGTGAATGTGGCAGTCATAAAGTGGCCACTGCAGTTGTTAAGTGAACACTGTGGTCATTAAGCAAACCAATAGTTTGCTACGGGCATGGTTTTGCCAAAAACAGGAAGTAAATAAATCTGGGCCATAAGTAGCCCCCAGGTAGGTCCGTTGCAAGGCCAGTAAGTCCAGGTCTGTAGGAGATGAGCAGGTTGAGCCGGGGGGGGGGGAGGAGAGTGGGGTCAAACTCATCAGTTTGGCATCTCTACGCCCCTGTAAAAGATCTGAGTCCAGCCAGACTCTTACCTGGCACCAAATTGCCTTGTCATTAGTAGTTTAGATTCTTGTGTACAGGTAGCATATAATAAACTTGTAGTACTTTTGAACTCTATCCTGGTTCCTGATTTCTCATCCACGACAAAGACCACCTGTATAGTAGTGCTGGAAAGTTTGTGAAAGTTTTTGAATTTTCCATCTTTCTGCATAAATATAATTTAAAATGTGATCCTAAAACTACATATAGAGAACCAATTAAACAAGTAAGCCAAAAACATATTTTGCTCAATAAATGAACAAGTAAAATGCTTTTGCCTCATTTGTTTAATTGAATTCTCTTTATCTAGTTTAAGATGTGTGGAGAACAGACCATGTGTTAGGTCACATTTAAGCAGAAGAAATGAAAATTCAAAAGGATCTCTGCAAACTTTTAACCACATCTGTATTCTGGTTTACTGTCTATAACAGAGGTCTCCAACCCACAAGCTGTGAGCCGGCACTGGTTTGCTGCACAACAGAAACCGGGCTGCGCAAATGAGCAAAGCCCCATTTGTGCACACACGGGATGCAGGCAGCACATGAAACCATGCCCCCTCCGGTCCACGGAAAAATCTCTCTCCATGGAACCAGTCCCTGGTGTCCAAAAGTCTATAAGCTTGTTAATATGGTGATACTAAGATAATTCGGTTTAGATATATAAATGTACTTTTGAACTGTGTACCCCAGATTTGGAATTTACCCCTATGGATTTATCCAACTTGGAGCAAATGAAGCAGATCATTGTTCTGTATTGGAAAAACAGAGCTCAGATGGTTTCTGTTTATAAGCTGGTTCTTTATCAAATGTAAGGAATTATTTTGTCTAGTCAATGTTTGCTTTCTTTAAAATTAGTCTTAATTCTGAGTAATGTAGTATGGTTTTTATTGACTTTCTGTTGTATTTTTTATGTTTTATTTCTTATATTATTAATTAACTGGTATATCACGCCATCTGACTTCTTCTATTTTACGGTGTCCACTCTCTGCATGGCTTGTGGGTTGCTATTGTGCCATTTTTCTGCTATGCCTGAAAAAACATTTTTAGATTTTTCAAGTTTTTGAGCTGAGGTCCTGATACTGAAGAACATATAAAACTCATGTTCAAATGTTAGATGTAGTTTGTTCCCTTTGATCTGAGGACTCTGAAGAATCTCCTTAGCGTATCTTGTCTGTACATCTTCTGTCTTCTACAGTCTGGGGCTGGAGAATTTAAAATTTATCCTACATAAAATGCAACAGCATTGCATTTTATTAATAAAATATCATTTTTATAAAAAGGGTTAACATATATCTGTTTGCCTTCCTGGGTTTATTGATAAGCTAACAAATAAATATATCTCTCATACCAACATCCTGAGTTTGGGATTTTTGGTCAAATTAACCGTTAGTACAATAGATTAGTGATTAATAGTGAAAGTAAGAGCTGTGCAGAAAACAGAAAAGGGGTTTTGTTTCAACTTAAAAGCAAAACATCCTGCCTAGAATATTCTATTAAAACATTTTGGTTGCCTGTGTGCAGCACCACACTTTTAGGCATTCCATGTTTGGTCAAACACAGTTCCAAACATTTTGATGTGACAGCTGTGAAAAAGTCTCTTGCTCCCCCTCCCCCCCTTTTGCCACAGGATCCCGATGATAGGCAGGGGGCCCACCTACAAAGAGAGCTTTGAATGCAAGGGTGTCCCTCTGCCTTTGCCCTATGGAGATGCTGTGGCTTAGGGGTCTCCAACCCCCGGTCCATGGACCAGTACCGGCCTGCGGCATGCCAGCAACCAGTCCGCACAAACAAGCAAAGCCCCATCCGCGGGATGCAGGCAGCACACGGTTATGCACATGGTTATGCACTCTCTGGTCCACGGAAAAAACCTCTCTCCACGGAACCGGTCCCTGGTGCCCAAAAGGTTGGGCACCTCTGCTGTGGCTGATAAGCTTTTTTTCTTCCCAAAGGAACCCAGACACCTTCCTCTCACAACAGACATTCCCTGCAAGTCAGTTAACTCCCCCATGAAGGACAGGAGAGCAGGCAATATATTTCAGACCTTCCAAAAACACAGCTCTGATTCTTTAAAAATATTTTACGGAAAGTTGTGTAAATCTTCTCAACCTAACATTGAAGGCAACCAAGAAGATGGGTTGTTTCCTTCCTTCCTCTCTAATATTTTAACACAAACTCTTTTTCCCTGGCTAGTAGCACATACAGTCTCAACGCACAGAAATAAAATACTAATAATAAATTACATCCTCTGACCAGCAAAATGACTCATTGTTTTTCTTAAAATACTAAGAACCTGAACTGCAGCAAGCAACTTGAACCGACAAATTCAATCTTGCATTGTTGCACTGTGCACATTGACTGAACTGTAGCATGCACGCCCGCCCCCCAGCTAGCCAACAAAGAATCATATGGCATTTTAAAATGCATTCTGAAATTCCAGAAACAAAAAGGCATAAGTATCATACTCTGATAAACCCACCAACCAACAAGAAATACCTTTGTACTTTCTCAGCTGCATTGGAAGAAAAAAAATCTTATAAAAGCCAGAAAGCAAGTTACCAGTATGGTGTGATTTGTGCAGGGGGAGGGAAGGGAGTGTTGTATTGCTGTCTTGCTAAACATGGGGGAGATCTGGAAGAAAATTCAGTAGATGCTCAGCAGTTGAAAGATGCCCAGGTTCCCAGGCACCTTCTCTGAAACAGAGTAGAGCCCTGAAAGAAAGAATAGCCCTATTGCCTTTCATCACTGAGCAAGACTCGCAAAAGTGTGTGTTTGTTTTGAGCATTTTAAGCTGCTTAAATTAATGTCTTCCTAAGATTTCAGAACTGCAGGAGCCTTGTTCTTTTTTTGGAGTGGGGTATTTAATCAAGCACACTGTGTCTCTGGCTCTCTAGGAAGCAGAAGCCTTTGCCCTCTATCACCAAGCGCTGGACCTTCAGAAACATGACCTCTTTGAAGAGTCGGCCAAGGCCTACCACGAACTGCTGGAGACTCGTCTGTTGCGCGAAGTTAGTGAAGAAGGGATGTCCCTCTTGCTTCTGCTTGATGCGGGGCTGGGGGGAAGCTTCTTGGTCTAATTGGGAGATGGTGTCTTTGATCTGCTGCCAGTGAAGATCTTTTAATGCAGCGGTCCCCAAGTTTCTGACTTGGCGGCCCGGCAGGGAGAGAGAGGGATGGTTCCGTGTGAGTGGCAGACACACACGCTACTCCATTTGTGCAAGTGGCAGGGGCACACATCCCCTGATCACACAAATGGAGCTGCGAGAGAGAAAGAGAGAGAGAGAGAGATGCTTACTGTTTCCACTATTTCCATGAGCAGGAAGGGGTCAGTCAGCAACACGTTGATCTGCTACCTCTTCCCTGGGGATCCCTTATTTTATATCTTGGATTCAGGGAGCAGCCATGAAAGGTCATTTGGTGATCATTTAAGTCATCATTACAGACAAAACATTTTTCTCTACTTCCTTCCAATTTTCAGGCAGTTGCAGCTGGAGATGAGAGAGAGGGGTTGAAGCATCCAGGCTTGATGCTGAAATATTCAACTTACAAGAACTTGGCCCAGCTGGCTGCCCAACGAGACAACATCGAGACGGCTATGGAGTTCTACCTGGAGGTAGGCCGTTCTCCCTCTCCCTTCCCTTCCACACGGGCTGATGCTGGAGCAGAAGAGGACTCGGGGATCTCAGCAGCCTCTTCTGCTGCAGTGGCTTCAGCCTTCCAGGGGTCTTTGCCTGGGTCCCACTCCTTTGTGTAAGACCTGTTGTACTTGTCCCCCCCCTTCCATTTTTTTTTTCATTTTTGTCTACAGTGTTTGTCTCAAGCATAGATGTTCTGCTGACATTGCTTGTTAACATGGAAGTCTTTTCCATCCGTGTGAGGTTTTTATACCAAAGTAGTTCTTGTTCCATATGTTGTTTATTTTGATTATTATTAAGTAAGAGAGGTTCATTGGCTCAATAGCTTAAAGACACTGGAGATGGTCTTTGTTCCATCAGTTCAACTCCTAGCACTGCGTGTCAGGGTGAGCTCCCATCACTTGCTCAACTTCTGCCATCTAGCAGTTTGAAAGCATGCTACATGCAAATAGATAAATAGGTACCACGTCAGTGGGAAAATAATGGCATTTCATATGGTAGTGTGAATCCAGCCAGGTCTGGACCTTCCCCAATGCAAGGCTTGGCACGAGGTGACATTGGTGGAGGGAGAAGCCCCAGATGAAGCTACAGAATGCCATTGAACCTTTCTGAGTGTGGACAGCAATTGTCGGCAGCCGAACAACTATTTTGTACTCACACTATAGTCCCCTGGCTAATGTAACATCACAATAAATAAATAAATAAATAAGTAAGTAAGTAAGTAAGTAAGTAAATAAATAAATAAATAAATAAATAAATAAATAAATAAATAAGGTAAATAAGACAGGCAGACAGACAGATACGATTCTGCACTTTGAAATATTGCTTTGCTTCCTGATGGTGGGGACAGGTGTTATACCTCTGGAGAGGATGGAGGAACAATTTTCAGCTTTCTTCTGGGAAGGTTAGAGTGGGTCAATGCACTGAACAGAGGCCTGGAACACTTATTTGAGCTTCTGTCCCTCTACAAAAGGACAGCTGAAATTACCCAACCAAAATGAATCCTTTGCCATGAACTGGGCAATCCTGGGCTGCCATCCGCTCAGTGCCCTAGACCCTTGGGGGGCAAGCAGTGGGCAGCTTCCAGCTTCTGACAGTCCAGTTTACCTGAAAAACCTCATCTGCTATGTTTCCCAGGCTGTGATGCTTGACTCCACGGATGTCAACCTATGGTATAAAATTGGCCACGTGGCTCTCCGGCTTACTCGCCTACCCCTGGCGCGGCATGCTTTTGAAGAAGGGCTTGCCTGTAATCCGGATCATTGGCCTTGTTTAGATAACCTCATCACCGTCCTCTACACCCTCAGCGACTACACAAGTAGGTCCTTTCTGCTTTTCTTAATTTAGAATTTCCTATAGTGTTGCAGTCAAGCAGTCTTGGAAACTGCAAGTTGGAGGGTTGATTAGGACTAGTACATAGCTATGAAACATGCTTAATATATGTCGATGGTATTTTGTTTTTAAACTTTTTTATATCCTAATTCCACAGTTAGATGAGGCTCATGCAGAAGATGCTTGTGTTATTTCTTTATTTTTTCTGCTATTGCCCCATCAGTCTCAAGGAAATCTAGGCTGCTTACAAAGACAACCATCATAAATGTTTAAATTTGCAAGTGTTGAAAAATGTGACTTAAAACTGTCACAGTGTCCCTGCGGTCACATGATCAAAACTAAGGTGCTTGGCAACCATCATGTATTTACGACCATGCCATGTCCCAGGATCATGTGATTATTTGTGACCTTCCCAAGGGGCTTCCAACAAGCAAAGTCAAGGGGGGAAGCCTGGTTTACTTATTAATTACAGGGGGAAAGCTTGTAAAATTGAGCATGACTCAATAAAAGTATTCCTTAGTGATGCAAGTTCTGATCCCAATTGTGGTTGTAAGTCAAGGATCAAGATGGTTACCATGTATGGGTCTCAACAATATGAACAAGCTTATTTTGTAACTTCTGTAAAGAGCTAGCACAAAGGAATCTAGAATGCATTAACAGATGTCCTCTTTCTTTGTTGATGTCCTCAGCGTGCTTATATTTTATTTGCAAAGCACTGGAAAGAGATAACTATTACAGCAAAGGACTTGTTATTAAGGAGAAGATCTTTGAGGAACAGCCATGCCTCAGAAAGGACTCCTTAAGGATGTTTCTGAAAGGGTAAATGACTTTCTTATTTTCACACGTGGTGTTATGCTGGAAGTCCTCATAAGTTCTCATCATGGGATTGGCAAACAGCGTGGCTGCTGGGTTGAGGAGGTGTTTATAACCTTTCTTTAGGTTTCTATAACCTTGCAGATTGGTGTCTGGTGTGTTCTGTTCTATAGACGCTTAAATTTGTGCTCAAGATTGCAATATTTATCCTCTCTGAATTCAGAGTGTAAATTTGCAAATAAATTCAGGGTGTAAATTTGCAAATAAATCATGTACAGGTAAAGAAAGGCTAGTGGTTACTTCAGAAATTTGATATTAAGGAAAATATTTGGTAGGTAAATAAGCAACTTTTATTGATTCAGAAACCAGTAGCTTTATGTTTAATTATATATCTCTAATTCGTTCACATGTGTCTCATCAAATTCATTAATCTGTTTCATGCTGTATTTTATTTCAAGATAATGATTCCATTAATATAATACAATTAAAATAATCCAGGCATCGTACATGGCCCAGTAAGTTGAACATCTGCAAGGTTTTGCTGGGGTCTTCTACAAATTTCAGCTAGAAAGGATAAATTCTGTTCTTCTTGGAGAATTTGTGAAGTGGAAGGTTCACTTTTTTCTTTCTTTCCATTAGCCAGAGCAGAGTAGAGCAGTAGACATGGGTTGTGTTTTCACAATCCTAATTTATGGAAGAAAGACCGCCTTCGAGACCGCCTTCTGCCACAGATTACCTCCCATCGGCCAGTACGCTCCCACAGGGTGGGTCTCCTCAGGGTGCCGTCGGCCAGACAGTGCCGGCTGGCGACCCCAAGGGGGAGGGCCTTCTCTGTGGGAGCTCCCACCCTCTGGAATGAGCTGCCCCAGAGATCAGGGTGATCCCTGATCTCCCTTCCTTCCGCCGCGCCCTCAAGACATGGCTATTCCAACAAGCGGGACTGGCCTAGGATAATTTTTAAGAGGGGTTTTTAGAGGGGTTTTTAATTATATTTTAAATTAGACAAGTTAAATATTTCATTTTAATTAATTTTAAATTTTGTGATGTTATTGGTGTTTTTAATTGATTGTCAGCCGCCCTGAGTCCGCAAGGAGAAGGGCGGGATATAAATTCGAACAATAAATAAATAAATAAATAAATAAATTGGCTAAGTAGGCAGCAAATTGAATGCAAATCTCCAACTCCCAACTTGTGCTGTGACCTCCGTTCTCACACCAAAGACATGTAGTTATGAATGTGAACAGGGTGGAATAGAATAGAATAGAATAGAATAGAATAGAATAGAATAGAATAGAATAGAAAGGACCTTGGAGGTCTTCTAGTCCAGCCCCCTGCTCAAGCAGGAGAACCTACACCGTCTCAGACGATTTCTGGGGGCATGCTGTTCCACTGGTTGATTGTCCTCTCTGTCAGGAAGTTTCTCCTCAATTCCAAGTTGTTTCTCTCTTTGAAATCCTTCTTCCTGGTTGCCTCCTTTCCCTGGACCACAGGAGTGGTGGAGAAGGTCAGGATAAATGTTGTTTCAAGCTGTTTATAGAATAACAGAATCACCCAACTTAAGAAAAGTTTAGCTTTTGTGAAGTGTAACAGCAGTGAAGGGCCACACCAGCACAAGGGCAAAAGATTGGCAGTGATGCAAGTCACCATTTTTTTGGCCCCTGCTCAGTACCAGTGTCAGATAGTGATTGTGACTACCATCCTGGTATGCACCTATAAACTGTTGCCTAAAGCTGGTTCTTCTATACAGACACCTAAACTAATACCAGTGGGATTGGTTGATGCTCGAACTGCAGCAAAACTAACTAATTAACATGTTGAAATCTGATTCTTTTTCAGTGACCTGTCAGTGTGTGATGTGCCTGTGAGTGCATCAGAAACACAAACAATCCTGGAGGAAGCCCTGGAGCTGCGCAGGAAAAGGCAGGCTTTGATGGCACGGAAGACTGAGCCAGATCTCAAGCTTGCCCAGCCCATCTCTCTGTTCACGTACGTTTCTGCTCAGTGTCAGCTTATTACGGTAGATATACAAGGTTTTGATAAAAAGCCGGGTTGAATGCTATTTCCTCCTAACACTTCCCCAATCAGTTCTTAAATTTAGTGTTTCGTAGTCATCCTAGCAGAAGGAGAGGGAGTTTGTTCCAAACATATTTTGAAGGTTCAGGTGAACTTTAGAATCTCAATAATTAGTCCTTCTTTTCTCCACAGCACTTTTTCAATACAGAAAGTACAAAGAGAACCCACATTAAAACCTGTACCTTATACGTATGGCAATGTGCCCTTGCACGTAGATATATTAATATGTGTGCATACATACCCTAAAATTACCAAATAGGACAGCCAATGAATTTACCCTTTTTAGCAAGATGTGCTCGTCTACTGCAGGATTTTAACTGCTACCATAAAATTAGCAATGGACTTTGCCAAAATGTTGTTCCTGCGAAAACATTAAATATCAAGCAAAAGTTCCTCCTGGGGACTTAACTAATAAATTATTAATCATGAGATAATCCAAGAATTTTGGATTAACAAATCAAAAGAAAACCGCTTTTATTTTATTAATTGCATATGACCATTCTAAGGTGGGCAATGAATCATGCATGGCATAAAAGCTGAGAATGTTTCTGTTTCAGGATCCCATCTGGGTCGGTCACCAAGACCAGGGGTTTTGCCTTCCAGGCTTTCAGACTCGTGCTGGATCCCCCATCCTCGGGGAACTTCTGTCTATCAGAGTGTGGGCTGTTCTGTGTTGGTAGCAACAGCAATAGCACTTAGACCTATATACCGCTTCACAGTGCCTTTCAGCCCTCTCTAAGTGGTTTACAGAGCCAGTCTGTTGCCCCCCCCCCCCAATCTGGGTCATTTTACTGACCTCAGAAGGACGGGAGGCTGAGTCAACCTTGAGCCCGTGAGAATTGAAGTGCCAGACTGCAGGCAGCTGGCAGTCAGCAGAAGTCGCCTGCAGTGTTGCATTCTAACTACTGTGTCACCACAGCTTATAAAGTATTTAAAGTTCTGTTGTATGTGGCTTTTTACGTATGTTGATTGGTGTGTGTTGATGGTAGACTTTTAAGTGGTTGGCTGCTTGTGCTGCCCAGCCCTCATTTTCTAAGTACTTCATAGACTGGTTGTCAGAATCCAATTATATTTCATTTCTATCTACCTACTCTGATGAAAAACCAATTCTTACTCTATTCTGGATTCTGTCATACTACGAAAAGGGAGGAGGGTAAGCATGGGGGGTTTATGACTCTCCCTTCCTTCATTAAACTACAAAGTGATCGTTTGTGGATTCTCATCGAGAGAACTAACCATAACAAAGTGGCCATCGCCTTTCATCTCACTCCCCTTTGCTGGCAGTGAGGAAAAGGGGGTGGGAAATACAACGCCTGGGATCCGAGGAAAAGAGGATGAGTGATCGTGCCGAGGGAGTGGACTGATGGATTGAATCGCCCGGAAGAACTGCTTGGGAACACTTAAAAACATTTAATGGTGGGAGAGAATTCCCCAGATCCTGTCTAGCATGCCTGCAATCAGCTTGTCTTAATAAAGATCCCTGTTGGAAGAGACATTCCAAGAGTTCTGTCTTCTTAAGATGTAAAATTGAGGTGGGTCCTTACACTGGTGGTAAATCAGCAGTCCTGTTCACTGACAAAGGGCCTGTTTCCCAGGCTTCAATCATTTCCCTGGCTGTTTTTGTGCCTGCTCATCCAACAATCACGCAAAGAAGTAGTACCAGTTTATAAAACCCTAGTAAGACCACACCTGGAATACTGCAGCCAATTTTGGTCACCATATCACAAAAAAGATGTTGAGAGTTTGGGAAAAATTCAGAGAAGAGCAACTAAGATGATCAAAGGCCTAGAGACAAACATATGAAGAATGGTTGCAGGACTTTGGTCTGGCTAGTCTAAAGAAAAGAAATAGGGGAGACATGATAGCAGTATTCCGGTATTTGAGGGGTTGCCACCAAGAAGAGGGGGTCACATTATTCACCAAAGCACCAGAGGGAAGGACAAGAAACAATGGTTGGAAACTGATCAAAGAGAGAAGCAACCTAGAATTAAGGACAAAATTCCTGACAGTGAGGACAATTAACCAGTGGAACAGCCTGCCTCCAGAAATTGTGGGCGTTCCATCACTGGAAATTTTTAAGAAGAGACTGGACAGTCACTTGTTTGAGATGGTATAGGTCCTCCTGCTTGAGCAGGAGGCTGGATTAGAAGACCTCCAAGGTCCCTTCCAGCTCTGTTCTATTCTTAATCTTAGTACCTGCAAAATTGAATGTGTGTCCTTGTTCATTGCAATGTGAGGCTACCAATGAGTTCGCGTCTCCTCATCTGACTGCTCGCTTGTGTTCTTGCAATCTGGTGGTTAACTTCCTCCCCATCTGTCCTATATAGTCACGGGCAATCCATGCAGGGGGTTCAGTAGATTACATTGGAAGTATCTCCCACGTCCAAGCGATCTTTATAATGCATAATTTGTCCTCGTATGTTAGTCTCTGGACGGTGTATGATGCCCACTTGCAGATCTCGGAAACTGCATTCTACAGCTTCCGAAATGTTTTTGATGTATGGCAAAGTGTGCCATGTGGTTTGGTCTTGCACCTTGTTTCTTCCTTCCTCTCCCCACCTTGTTGTGCGGACATCTTGTGACAAATGATTGTGGGTACCCATTCTGTTTGAATAGTTCATGTAGATTCTTGCTCTCCAGCTGTTTGGCTTGCTGGGTGCGACAGTGGGTTCTCACCCTGCCATATAGTGTTCTGATGCAATTCTTTTTGTGTGACAGTAGATGGTTGTTGTTGAAATTCAGAATGTGTGGAATATTGGTGGCCTTGCAATAAACTGTGGTTTCTAGGCCTTCCGTCGTCTTGTCTGTTGTCAAAAAATGGTAATTGCCTAGCTGTTTCCTCTATTGTGAACTGTATGTTGGGGAAGATGGAGTTCAGTATGGTATGAAAGTCTTTTAAGTGCATTTGTCTTGATGATGACAAACGTGTCACCCAGGTACTGGCACCAGAATTTAGGTGTTGTAAGGACCTTCCTCCGTTTCTCTACCAAGAATGTAGAACTCTTGAAACTGGCATCATTTCAAAAGGAACTTTTATTGGCAGATACAGAAAGCAGGAAAGCTAGGCAGGATCTGAGGGCTTCCTGCGCAAATCAATAGGTTAAACCTGCAAAATAATAGTATCCACAGGTGATGTCGGGTTGTGAGAAAGCAGCCAATAAAGTTGTTAGGTCTTCTCCAGTTCCTCCCTGTGCACTGAGATAAGGCAGATGGCCCCGAGGCATTCCTTTCATACCCCATGGAAGACACATCAAAGCAAATAGAGGAACCGTCCTACGTACATTACAAGCCCCTGGCCTCCCCCCTCCCTCTCATAGGAGAATGGCAGAACCCAAATAACTTAAGCCCAGAGAACATGTATGATTAATAATAATTGAGGGTTCTGACAAGTGTGTAGTTCTGAAATACACAGTGTTCTAATCCACGCAGGACTGCTTCTGCAATGACTCCTGGTATTGGGGATCCCATGGGTGTCCCTTTTAGTTGTTCACACATTTCACTTTTGAATGTGAAGAAAGTGCGTTGATAGTATTGGAGTAGCTTCATGATTTGTCGTGGTGACCGACCCAGATTGGATCCTGCAACATTATCCTGGGACACATATATTTGCCTTCATGTTTTTGTTTTCCTGTTTTCCATGCAGGTGGAAAACTCTAGGAGAGAGTCTGATGGCCACTTACCTGCATCTCACAACTTGTGAGCTGCCTCGTCCAAGCTTGGGCAAGCGAATTGATCTCTTGGAGTACCAAGATCTGAACCAGCACCTGGAGAGCCATGCAAATTCAGCCCCCGTCACTGTTCTTCACCCCAGCCCTGTCAGTTCCAACCCACTGGTGCCTTTGGCTGAACCACTCCTCACGTATACACCACTGACTCCCAACTTCCCCAGTTTGACTGTACTGGAATCAGTAAACTCTGCAGGTGAGAAAGATCTTTGCAAGAGGCATCACGTGAATGGGAAGTCCTTCCTCTTGCTGAATAGTCTGTCCTTCACTGAATAAGCTGCAGAAGAAAAAAGTTGGCCACTTAGTCTTGACAATCACCTGGATGCAATTAGGGTAGTCCTTTTCTTTTCTTTTCTTTTTCTTTTATTATTTCTTAGAAAATTTATATGGCTGCCAACTCAATCATAGGGACTCCGGACGGCTTACAGAAGTAAAACCCCAAATACAAAACCCAATGTGCCCCCAACAATTCATAACAAGTTTATATAAGTTGTAGTAGCAGAAAGAGCTTGCAAATAAACCAGACTGTCACAGACAAGCTGATTGTTGGACATTAATCTTGGGGGAATTATATACACAAAAATGAATAGTGTGTGTGTGTGTGTGTGTGTGTGTGTGTGTATAAAATCCAAGTAGCTAGTGTTGGCTTTCATGCACATGGTTGTTTTGTTTGGATTCCTGTCTTGAGCTTGACCTTTGTGGCTCCGGGTGCTGCCGCAGCCTCTGCTTGAGATTTTGGAGCTGGAGAGGAGGCAACAAAGTCTCTGCAGGACTTTCTCAGATCAGCCTTGAGTTTGGGAACAAGAGACACACTTGACTACACAGAAACATTGACTTTGTCAATAAAAAAGTCAGGGAAAATAACTTGATAGAGGCTGCTTGTTAATCTAAAACTCCTTGGCTCTTCTCAGGTGATCCTTCTGTGGGTGACAAATCTAAGAAAGGATTAAAACGGAAGAAGATCACGGAAGAGAGTGGTGAAACAGCGAAGAGGAGATCAGCTCGAGTCAGGAATACCAAGTGCAAAAAAGAAGAAAAAGTCGATTTCCAGGAGCTGCTAGTAAAATTCCTTCCTTCTCGGTGCGCGTTCCCATTCCTAAATGTGTGCTGGTTCTGGGGGAAAAGCCAGGGGTGGAAGGGTGTTTCATTTTGAGAGGGCTTCTGAGGGGAGGGCAGAGCCATGCAGCCGGGGATCAGACTACCTGGCTACCTTGGCCCTGCCTTCAGGTCTTCCAGTTTGCTTCTTCAGTGCTTTTCTGGTGTGCTTTCAGCCTGAGGAAGCTGGATCCAGAAGAAGGCCCATTCAACCACTATGAGATCCAAAGCACAGCAAAGGAAGAGAATTCCCAGCCCCTGGGCTCCCATAGGATATCCCTCGAGCTGACAGTCTGCATAGAATCTGGTAGGATTTTTTTTCTGGCTCATCTTTTTCTGTAGATGGGATCCCTGTAAAGAATTATCTCTTATTTGGTTTTCTTAAACATTAGCTTCATCTGTTGATTCATTCATTCCCTGAAAATCAACTTGTGATGGACTCATACCCACGAGGTGGCGATTTTTCTTCCAGAGAAGCAGGATGTTCATAAATTCCTCTTGGCTAATTTGAACAACGGAGGCATCCTGGAACTGATGATGAGATACCTGAAAGTCATCAGCCAGAGGTTCCTGGTCAAGTGGCCACCAGGCTTGCCTGAGCTTGTCCTGAATATCTACAACAATTGGAGAAAGCACAGCAGCAGCCTACCCAACCCACTATTAAGGGACTGCCGCAATCAACACATCAGGGTAGGGATCAACTTCGAATGATCACACACACACACTGCTCTTTGAGCATTTCTACCTGCAAATGGGTAACCCAGGATATAACAGGCTCTGCAACAAGCTCCCTTTTGCCTGTCAGCTCCCAGAGCAAAGGAAGAGGGAAGGGGGGCTCCATGGGCACCGTGCAGCACAGTGTCTGCTCCATTTAAGCCAGTCTACACAGCGTTGTGTAGAAGTAGGTGAGATCAGAAAAGTCAGGTGGTTTTATGAGTTTCTACAGCCAAGGAAGCTCTGCCTCTTCTGGCTTTCAGCCACCAGAAAGAAACTGGGCTCTGAATTCCATTCATTTCCTTTGAGAAGGACACTTCTGTGGTCAGTTTCACATCCAGCTTTATTGGAGAAGCCAGTCACAGTCATAGGACTGTGTCCAAAATGTTTTGTTCTAAATACAGCTGCATTGGATGGTGTGGTCTCTGCCAGGGAGAACATGGGAATTAGCCTCACCAACTCAGGAGCTCAGAGAATCACATGCCTTGCTTAACAAATAGGTTTTAGTAGCCTCTGCAGACAGCCAGGCTAAACTGGACTGAAAAACTGGCTTAGAAGCCCCGCCGGATGCTCTGTTCCTTTTCAGTGAGCAGCAGCCGACCCCCTTCTGCCTTCTAAGCAATGAAGGGCCTTTCTGTTACTGGAAAGGCCACGTCTTGGCAGGCATGGCAGATAGCAGGAGGTGGTTTTAACTGCTGGATGCATATAGAGAAAAGAATAGATTGTCCAGCACCCCTTTCTTTCTGTCATGCTTTGCCAATATTGCAGGATATGATGCTGATGAGCCTGTCCTGCATGGAACTGCAGCTGGATCAGTGGTTGCTGGCCAAAGGGAAGAGCTCCACAGGTAAGTGAGGGCTGGAAATTCAGCAGACGCTTTTAGGGGCAGGGTATCTTTGCTTACCAGCCGGCTGGATCTCTAGGCTGGCTTTGGAGGAGAGCGCGGCAACACTTTGCATGCCTCGCCTAAATGAGTTCCCAGGATCACAAGAGTGGGAGCAGAGAAGGGAGCTGCTGCCATTGGCCATCCAGACCAGTGTAAGGAATCTCTGCCTGCAGAAGTGGGCTTCCTTTGCGTTCCCTGCTTCAGGCTCCCATTTCACGGTGCTAAACAAGGAAAATGCTTCTTCCAGTATCTCCCAGGAATGGTCCCTCAGCCAGTTCGGCGAGTGGCAAATTTGGCCCAGACTTTCCAGGCACCCACTTCTTGGGGGATCTGCTGCAGCTCTCATTCGCTTCTTCCCAGCGGGACCTCTTTGAGGAGAGTTGGCTGCAGTTTGCCGTCCGAGTGTATTGGCTGAAAGCTCGGTTTCTGGCTCTGCAGGTTTGTATTTTGCTGCAGCCAAAGGGTCTTAATGCTCAATTTATATTCCTTGCAAGACAAGTTTAGAAAGGGGGTCCTCCTGGCATTTGCTCCTGATCAGAGCAAACGTGTGTTATGTAAACATCCCTTAAGATGGAACCAGGACGTGGCCCTTGAGGTACGTGCTTGATGAATGCCCCACTTGGCCTGTGGGGTTGATGATGGAACTGGATGAAGAGGGAGTTGAAAGCCACGTTGCTCCTGCAGGGTGAAATGGAGCAGGCCCTGGAAAACTATGACGTCTGCACAGAGATGCTTCAACATTTTGCTGCCGTGGAAGCCGCGCCTGACAGCGACAAGAGGGTGGTGATCAGATTGCCCAACCTCCATGTTGACTCTGTGGTTTCTTTGGAAGAGGTAACGTCATCTGGTGAAGTTTTTTGGTCATCTTGTTTGCTCTGAGCCACGCTTATCACCTCCCCTTTGCGGCTGGTTTCACACCAGGTTTTTTGAACTCTGGAGGTATCAAGACTTACCTTGCCATAAGGGTCTCCTCTGAAACCTCTGCACTTGCATTTGAGTCGGCATTTTGCGGCTTGATGGGTCCTGACTTTATCCGATATTAAAAGCATCATCTCTGTGTTGGAGGAGATGCTTGATTCAAATACTCTATATTTATGCTTCTAGTTTTAAGAAATAATGACTGGTTTTTAAAAAATGAAATAAAATGCTGCTCTTAGAATATCTTTCCACCTCAGCTGTTGGTCATCTTTCCACTGTGCATTCTCTGGAGTTCCTCGGATGAAAGGCAAAGAGGGAGCAGGAGTTCTCTGTATGTCGTGGTTGACTTTCCGTAGTAGAATAAACACCACTAAAAGACTGATTGTGAGCCAGCCTGCTGTGGGACGCCAGCCATTGTCTTGTTTGGTCATTGGGGTAAGGGGTTGTTTTTAACCCCAGTTAGACATCAGATTGGAGTGTGGCCCAGCCAGTGTTTAATTTTTGCAGATTGATAAGAATCTGAAGTCCCTGGAGAGATGCCAGTCTTTGGAGGAGCTTCAGCGCTTGTATGAGGCTGGGGACTATAGGGCCGTGGTTCAGCTGCTCCGCCCCACCTTGTGCCTCAGTGGGGACAGCAGGACGGAGCACTTGGACTTTGCCATCTCCATTCCAGAGAGGCCAGCTCAACTTCTCTTGCTACAGGTGAGCTTGATTTTTTTTTCTTTCAGGTTAATTGGTGTAAATTAGCATAAAAATGAATGCAGTGTTTTCAGACATGAGGAAGAATTGCTGAAGAAAGATAAACGTGGCCTCACAGCATTAATGCTGTTTCACTCCTTTTGTAGAGTGTAGTGAATTTAATGTCTGCCAGGGTATCAGATTATAATAATTGGCAGAGAAGATACAGCTAGAATAATCAAGCTGGAAAAGGCCCATAAATTAAAATTGTACAGTGAGGGGAAAAATTATTTGATCCCCTGCTGATTTTGTACATTTGCCCACTGACAAAGAAATGATCAGTCTGTAATTTTAATGGTAGATTTATTTTAACAGTGAGAGACAGAATAACAACAAAGAAATCCAGAAAACGCATTTCAAAAAAGTTATAAATTTATTTGCATTTTAATGAGCGAAATAAGTATTTGACCCCTTCGCAAAACATGACTTAGTACTTGGTGGCAAAACCCTTGGTGGCAATCGCAGAGGTCAGACGTTTCTTGTAGTTGGCCACCAGGTTTGAACACATCTCAGGAGGGATTTTGCCCCACTCCTCTTTGCATTAAGGTTTCGAGGCTGATGTTTGGCAGCTCGAACCTTCAGCTCCCTCCACAGATTTTCTATGGGATTAAGATCTGGAGACTGGCTGGGCCACACCAGGACCTTAATGTGCTTCTTTTTGAGCCACTCCTTTGTTGCCTTGGCTGTGTGTTTTGGCTCATTGTCATGCTGGAATACCCATCCATGACCCATTTGCAATGCCCTGGAAGGAGGTTCTCACCCACGATTTGAAGTACATGGCCCCGTCCATCGTCCCTTTGATGTGGTGAAGTTGTCCTGTCCCCTTAGCAAAAAAACACCCCAAAGCATGATGTTTTCACCTCCATATTTGACGGTGGGGATGGTGTTCTTGGGGTCATAGGCAGCATTCCTCCTCCTCCAAACATGGCAAGTTGAGTTGATGCCAAAGAACTCGATTTTGGTCTGACCACAACACTTTCACCCAGTTCTCCTCTGAATCATTCAGGTGTCCATTGGCAAACTTCAGACGGGCCTGTGCATGTGCTTTCTTGAGCAGGGGGACTTTGCGGGCGCTGCAGGATTTCAGTCCTTCATGGCATAGTGTGTTACCAATTGTTTTCTTGGTGACTATGGTCCCAGCTGCCTTGAGATCATTGACAATATCCTCCTGTGTAGTTCTGGGCTGATTCCTCATCGTACTCATGATCATTGAAACTCTACGAGGTGAGATCTTGCACAGAACCCCAGACCGAGGAAGATTGACATTTTGTGTTTCTTCCATTTGCGAACAATCACACCAACTGTTGTCACCTTCTCACCAAGCTGCTTGGCGATAGTCTTGTAGCCTATTCCTTGTGTAGGTCTACAATCTTGTCCCTGACATCCTTGGACTGCTCTTTGGTCTTGGCCATGGTGAAGAGCTTGGAATCTGATTGATTGATTGCTTCTGTGGACAGGTGTCTTTTATACAGGTAACAAACTGAGATTAGGAGCATTTCTTTTAAGAGAGTGCTCCTAATCTCAACTCATTACCTGTATAAAAGACATCTGGGAGCCAGAAATCTTGCTGATTGATAGGGGATCAAATACTTATTCCACTCATTAAAATGAAAGCCAATATATAACTTTTTTGAAATGCATTTTTCAGGATTTTTTGTTGTTGTTCTGTCTCTCACTGTTAAAATAAACCTACCATTAAAATTATAGACTGATCATTTCTTTGTCAGTGGGCAAACGTACAAAATCAGCAGGGGATCAAATAATTTTTTTCCTCACTGTATACTGTGTATTTCTTACAATCATTAATCCAAAGGATTCTTTAGAATTAGTAAAGAATATATACAATGTTCAATAGTTGGTACTCAGGGTTAACCAAAATAAGATAGATGTTTAAAGAATCCATCTGGAGAAAATGCAACAAATAACAGGGTTTAATAAAATATTAAGCCTTTTGTATAAACAGTGAAGATTTATTCAAAACTAATTATATATCTGGAAAAAAATTCATAAGACGGAAAAAATATTTTTTTGTGGTAAGGAAGAATATCTGTATTAAGAAGGAATATGTTATCATGGATAATTGTTTCATTTCAAATGATTCCAATAGGAATCGAAGAAAGATCATTCACTCTCCATGGAATGGTCAGAAACTGCCAGAAGTTTCTTTCAGCATCTTCAAATCAGTATGCAAATACAAAAATGAGGTGGCATAAAATTTTTGACCAAATTTCAAAGGCTTATGACACAAGATTCAGAGCATCTTTGGGGATTTATATATAAGTTACTATTGAAATAAGATTCAGAAACCGAAGAAGTGAAACCTTGCCTGATGAAACAGATGCCAAATTTTATCCATTCAACATATATTCTTGGAAGAAAAATATCAGTTTACTGTGAATATTGCACTTACAGAAATCTAGCATAATATTTTTTGTTACTATTAGTATATTATTCCAGTTACAACTTTCAAATGGATAGTCCATATTTTAAAAAATCCTGCTGGAAATGTAATAATCAAGTTGGATCTTTCTTTATATTTGGTGAGTCTCAAAAAGCTCAGCAATTCTGGAAAATGATTCACCATAGGATGAAATAAATTTTAAATACTGAGTTTTCATTCTTGCCAAGGGTTTTTCTGTTAAGAAGCACCAAGCCTTATATTCCTAAAGTACACCAAGTGGGCCTTACCCATGATGACCCCTGCTGGGACATTCTACACCTGCTTCTGGCAATTACATTCAGTTCCTTCTTTAGAGAATTGGCAGATTAAGTCTGGAGAGTGCAATACTTTCGTTAAATTTAAATTTTGATACAATCCTAGCTTTAATTTAATCTGAAATAATCTGTTTATGGACTGCAATTTTATCCAGACACTTTTGCCTTATTTGAAATTCAGATTTCTTTTAACATAAAGTTGTAAAGGACTAGATTTCATTTAATTTGGAACTAGTGCAAAGCTGACGTGTGACTTTCTTTGGTGTTTCCTGTGAGAATAAGGGTGGTTTTCTTTTTTCTTTTAACATGCAATTTGTATAATCTGTAAATGTTTTTTTTTATGCTAAAAGATTTTAGAAAGTCCAGGATTGCGTGCCTTAGGTTCTTGTGGGTGCATGTGAAAATGAGAACGCATACGTTGGTGATAATTCATATTATGTTTAGATGAAAAGTAATAATGGCAAATTGGAGGTGAATTTAAGGAGAAATTGTGCAACGTTCTGAACAAATTGTCTGGAGGGAATTTCCCTTTTATATGACATAAATGGTTGGCTGGCAGTGGAACAAGAAAGATTTTGGCCCACCTGGAAATGGAGAATGGCTGAAATGGATGACTGCTTGAAAGGGGATTCCAGTCAGTCGTCTGTACCTGCTGATAGAAAAGAAACGAATGTCCATTGTGTACCTGAACGAATGATGGTGAAGATGGGAGGAGGGATGCCTCAGTGTTTAGACATTGTATTGGTAGCATTGGTGTTGTCAGTTGCAAGGAACAGACGTTTGTCTTAAAACTGGCTGTGTATAAGAGGGGACTTCTGCCCACTTGGTTATCTGGAAGAGAAAGTGGAGACATCAGGAGCAACCTTGAGGGTGGGGACACTTAAGGAGCAGGATTGAGATATGCCTGTATTTCTTTTTCTACCTCTTTCCCTGACAATATTTCTTGTTCTTTTATGTGTGTGTATGCTTTGCACAACACTGTGAACCCCCCAAAAGAAGGGTGTGATAGGGTTATGTATAACCTGCAGGAGCGCAAATGCCTTTCTGGCCTTGCTCTCCTGCGTGAAGGAAGCAGCTTTTCTGTCTCATGCAACACTTCCTTCTGTTCCCTGTGGGGGGTTTTGTCTTCTACCCCCTTCCTGATATTCCCTAGGATTCCCTCCTTCGGCTGAAGGACTACCAGCAGTGCTTGGAATGCTCCGAAGTGGCCTTGAACGAAGCTTTCCAGCAGATGATCAATATGACAGCCGCCTCGGCCAAGGAGGAGTGGGTGGCCACTGTGACCCAGCTGCTCCAGGGTATCAGTCACTCCCTCTCCACAGACAGCAGCAGCCTGAGTGAAGCTTCTCCCCTGCTGAGTCTCACCCGATTAAGTCACAACCTCATCCAGGTAAGGGGGGGGGGTCTGCCCTTGATCCTGCAGCTGCTGCTGCAGCTTTCACCCCAAGAGCTCCATTTGGAGCAGCAGCCAGCTGTGTAGTTCAGAGAGGGAAAAGAAAAAAACACCCTTATGTTCACAGGACCACAGGTCTTATAGAGATATATCTTACATATTGTAATAAAATTTTGTAACATTTCATATTGGGGCCCCAGATATTGATTGCAGGGAAAACCACAGCAAAAAGGGACACATCTCCGTGAAAAGGGACAAGACTCCCACTAGAGGCCTGTAAATGTTCGTCTGGTTGGCTGGCAACTCAGCAATCATCTTCTTACAGGTAGTCCTCACTTAATGACCACAATTGGTCCGACAACTCTGTCACAATTCTTGAGCAATACATGTCACAGCACTGGACTTACAGTGTCAGTTCTGCTGTGACTGTTAAATGAATCACCTGTAATAGTTAAGGAGACACCATGTGACCACGAGTTGCGATTTTACTGCCAGCTTCTCCATAGACTTCGTCAGAGGCCGGCTGTGAAATTCACAAATGTCGATTTCATGACCATGGGATACTGCAATGCTTGTGAATGTGCACTGGGTGTGAATAACAGAATTAGAGAGTTGGAAGGGAGCTTGAAGGTCTTCTAGTCCAACCCCCTGTCCAGGCAGGAAACCCTATACCATTTCAGACAAATGGCTGTCCAGTCTCTTCTTTAAAACCTCCATGTTGGAATACCCACAATTTCTGGAGGCAAATCGTTCCACTGATTAATTGTTCTAATTGTTTATTTATTTATTTGGAAAATTTATATTGTCGCCTACTCACACATGGAGACTCAAGGCAGCTTATATGGATATTAAAACACCATATAAAAGAAGTAAAAATAATAGTAAAATAATAAAATACTAACCCCCACCACCCCCACCCTGGCGACAACACACATTCATACTAGCCATTTAATGGGCTCCATCCTGCTCTGGGTTCCCCACGCCTGCTGGCAGAACCATGTCTTCATTGCCTTCCAAAAGAGTGTTAGAGTGGGGGCCAGTCTAATCTCTGGGGGCATGAAGTTCCAGAGGGAGGGAGCCACCACCTAGAAGGCCCTTCTTCTGGGTTGCTCCAGATGTATCTCCTTAGGGGACAGGACCTGCAACATTCTTATCTCCTCGCTCTAGTGGGTCAGGTAGATGTGACTGGCAAGAGACGGTCCCTCGGGTAACCTAGCCCCAAGCCATGAGGGGCTTTAAAGGTGACAACCAGCACCTTGAATTGCACCAGAAGCAATTTGGCAACCAATGCAGCTCCCACAGGAGAGGTGATACATGTGCACACCGAGGTCGGCACAAAACCATGCAGGCTGCTGTATTGATTAGTTTCCATTCATCGTTTCTTGTTCTCCCTTCAGGTGCTTTGGAGAATAGGTTGACACCTCCCCCTTCTTTGTGGCAGCCCCTGAGATACTGGAACACTGCTCTCCTGTCACCCCTAGTCTTTCTTTTCATTAGACTGGACATAGCCTGTCCTTGCAACCATTCTTCTTAAGTTTTAGCTTCCAGCACCCTTATCGCCTTTGTTGCTCTTCTCTGCACTCTTTCCAGAGTCTCAACATCTTTTTTACATCGTGGTGAGCAAAACTGGATGCCGGATTCCAAGTGTGGCCTTACCAAGGCCTTGTAAAGCAGTACTAACACTTCACGTGATCTTGATTCTCTCCCTCTGTTAATGCAGCCCAGCACTGTGTTGGCTTTTTTGGCAGCTGCAGCACACGGCTGGCTCATATTTAAATGATTCTCCACTAGGACTCCAAGATCCCTCTCACAGTTACTACTCTTGAGCCAGGTACCACCTATACCAGTGCCCAAATTGTAATCATGTGACCATGGAGATACTGTCACTGTTATAAGTTTGATGACCGGTCCTAAAGTTACTTTTTCAGTGCCTCTGTCCCTTTGAATGGTCACTGGACAGGGCACTCGTTAACTGAGGACTGCCTGTTCTTGACTCTGCAGCCCAGTTTTGCAGCTTTTTCTGACCAGCAGGCCCTGCCTCAAACTCCCGCAGTGCTTAGGTGTATGTCCCATAAGATCCTACATACTGGGGGTGGGGAGGGGTGAGCACTCTGACAAATAACAGGTTTGCCCCGGTGCCTTTAGTAATGCTCTCTTTTTGTTGCAGCTGCATCTCGAACATCTGAACTAGAGGACCGACTCTCAATTTGTGGCTCTAATTTGCTGGGTTTCTCTCTCTGACGTTTAGATTATCGATTGCAGCATGGCAGTCCAGGAGGAACCCAAAGAGCCATTTGTGTCCTCGGTGCTTCCCTGGATTATTCTTCATCGGATCGTTCAGCATGAAGAAGAAAATGCCCAGCCCCTTTGCTACCAACACGAGGAGCAGCTGCAGAATCCACAGGAAGGAGGTGAGTCCTGGCATTCCTTTTCTTTTCTTCTCTTCAGGGTCCCTTTTTCCTCCTTCCCGTCCTTCTGTAGTCCTCTGGCCCAATGCCTGTCCTCGACAAAGGGTCCCAAAAGGGGATGCAAGGTGGCATCTACAAGTGCCCAAGACTCTCGGATGTATTGATCTGAGCATGTCAGAATGGCATCGGGCACTTCATCCGATGGTTTTCTAGTGACAAGGTGCATCAGGTCTGCAGCCAAGGTTCCCAAACTTTTTCAGTTCTCAGCACTCTTAGTGTCTCAGTAATTTTGCCTGTCACCCCACAATTCTCAAATTGTGCCACAATGCCGAAGGTACTCCAGTAAATTCACAGGAGCCTGCAGCATACAGTTTGAGAACCAGAGTCTACTGTATTGCCGTTAAGGAAGTTACCTGATCAAAAATGAAGTAAAGTCATTCTCTAACTTTGGTTAATCCATGCTGACCTCATAATTCCTTATCTGATACCTGGAAGCCACAAGGCCTAATGGAACATAGCAAATATTGAGGCTTAACCCTAGCATGATTGACTGGCTGTTTGACTGGTAACCACAGTGTAATTGACTGACTCCTCTCCTTGATCCTGAGGGTCTGCCTTAAGGAGAAGTTCCCCAGCTTGGTTTCTCAGCTCCTTCAAAATCAGCAGGCATCATGGCCAGGGATGGATTTATCCAGCTTCAGGATGACCCTTCTTGGAAACAGAAGCTCTAGTCAAAGTTTCTCACACCTCATTATCTCCAAATTGGTGCTGTTAGTGCAAAATGCAGCAGCTGCATGCTGAGGAGGGCAAGGTGATCAAGCAATTTGGCAGACTATTCTGAGTGAGTCCTTTGAGTGACTGGTTCCTTGCTTTGGAAGACTTTGTTAGAGCAGAAAGATGTCTAAAATACTCTATTAAGTCTGTAAAATGAGAAACTGCTCTCTGAAGTTTGTCACCCATCCTTCTAAAATTGATGAGAGTTCTACTTGTTTCTCATCTTATTCTCAGTGTCTCCCATTCAAGACACGCCTATGCTGCCTTCTTCCCTTATGCTGCTGAACACAGCCCATGAATACCTTGGAAGGAGATCCTGGTGCTGCAACTCAGATGGAGCTCTGCTTAAATTTTATGTGAGTAGAAATGTCAATTTCTTGCAGTATTGGTCGCTTTTGATCTCCACCCTTGATATAACGAGGGTAATAATTATTCTGCATCTTGCATTGTTCAAAAAATGTAAGCTGATCTCTCCCTCTGTTTACATCTAAAGCTTGACATCCAACCTTTTTTGAATATCTTTAGAAAAGTCCAATATAAATGAAAGAGAATTCTTCTGTTGAATTAATCTCATATTGAGACCATAGGAAATGATATTTCTTAAGATTCTATTTCATTGATTTATAGAATATTCCAACTCTTTTTTCCAAGTTCTTGCAAATTACCAATATGTCCTTCAATGATATTGCTTGGTTTTCTATAAAAATAAATTGTTTGCTCAGCATTCAGCAAACATAAATAAATGTAGCATTTAGGAAGAACATCTTCCTTCAACGTTTTCTTTCCATCAGGTATTTCCTATGAACATTGGTCTTCCTAAAATCTGTGTTTTGTCTTAAAATCAGTAATTCTAACATTCCGTAATCCCTCGCCCCAAAGTTCTCAGCACTTTAATATCATTTATTTATTTTATTTATTTATAATTGCATTTATATCCCGCCCTTCTCCTTGCGGACTCAGGGCGGCTCCGAAGCCGGCAACCCGCGGCTCCGAAGTCGGCAACCCGCGGCTCCGAAGCCGCATGCAGCTCTTTAAGCCATCTCTTACGGCTCCCAGCCATGTGCAGTGCCAAAAAAAAAAGTGGAACTAAAAAAATTGAACCAATCAATTCAAACTTCTCACGAAAAAAACCTTGCAAAGTTTGAATTGATTGGTTCAAGGGACACCGTCCGCCTGTCAAGCCCCATGGGCTCAACACAGACGGGAGGGGGGAAAGACAGCTCCAGAGGGAAACAGCCCCGCAGCCAGAAGCTGGCGGTCCAAGCAGAGTGGCACGGAAGACCTACGGGTCGGCGTGGGAGGCTCCAGCGTTGCCGGTGAGCAAGGCCTGCCGTCCGCGGCCCGGTTCCGCACCCCGACGACCAGCTGGACCAGCTTTCACTGCTCCAGCCCGGGACACCAGCAGCATAGAAGGCAGTTTGGTGGCGTTGCTGTGGGCGGGGCATCCTTGCAGCGGACAATTCGGGCCCGTATATTTCCCACGGCTCAGGACCGGAGAGGCCGGTGGCGCACGGCCCGGACTGTCGGCATTGCCATGGGACTACCCCCTGCGGTGCCAGCTAATGCAGCATGCTCCTGGCGACCCTCGAACCGCTCTGGCTTCCTCCCGCGGATCTCCCCCCCCCCGCACGACCTATCAAAGGAAGCGGGAATGGCTACAGCTGGGACACGCTTACCTGGCCAGAGTACTTTTGCCTGACCCGGGCAGGCCGCGGAGCAAATAGAGGCTTTTGCTGAAGCGGCGAGCGGGGGGCCTGCCTCGGGCACAGCAGGGCTGCTGGAGGCTGAGGCCCCCGAAGGCGTGGACCAGGCTATCTTCCATAGCGCCGGGACTGCGGGAGCAACAGCCTACTCATCTGCGGCGGCGGAGCCATCTGGTGCTGTTTACACGGCCGTTCGTCCGCATGACTGAGATAGGCAGCGCTGCCCCCTCTGCTCTTGTTTCCCTGGAGCAAAGTTGGGGCCGCTGCCTATCTCAGTCATGCGGACTTCTGCTCCTCCAATCCTGGTTGCTCCTCGCGGTCCCTGCCTGCCACGGTGATTTCTGAGAGCGGGAGTAGCTGCCTGCTGGGCAAGCCCCGAAAGCTTTCTTCCTCTCCCCGATCTTGCCTTTCTTGCTCGCCCTCTGATGTAGGCGTCTGCTGGGTTTCCTCAACCTCCCCCCCTGTTTTATTTTAATCCCACCACCGCCTCCCTCTTTCGCAAAGTTGACATTCTGGGGACTCGGACCTCGCTTCGTTCCCGGAGTCACTTGGCGAAGCTTGAAGGAGAGGCCGCCTGCTCCACCTCCTGCGGAGCAGAACTGCTGCTTCCTCGCCCTCCCAGCGAAAGAACCCCAGAGAGCTGGAAGACGTCCTTTCTCCCACTTTCCGCTTCCCATCCTCTCTTTTCCGAGCACCCCTCCCAGAGCGAGCCAGAAGCCTCAACTCCAGCCTCCCGCAGCAGGCTGAGATAGGCGAGCCCAAGCGGCCGTCTGCTGCCGCTTTGGAAGATTCACCGCAGCAGCAGCTCTTTCTCCGCCTCCGCTCCCTGGGAACCTTCGCCCAAAAGGCGGAAAGAAGAAAGTCCCAGAGAGGGAGAGGGCGGGGCGGGGGGGGGGAGAGCAGTCTTTTCCGAGGGGAGGAGAAGCCAGGACGGTGCTGGACGGGGACAGGGCCGGTGCATGTCTCGCCTTAGTCTCCACTCTTTAATCAAGCCCCCTGTTCTGTCTGGCTCTTTCAGTGTTTCAGGTTGCCGACCCCTGTCCTAGTCTAAGGGTTTCACGGGGGGAAAGACAGTAAGAAAAGTGGAGACGTTTGCGCCAACTGCACTTTAGGCTCTTGATTTGTCCGCTTAATTTCTGAAATTTTATTTTCTTGCCTTTACTTCCTTACCAGTAGTTACAAGGTTTTAAAATATATAAATGCAATATCACATGTAAGTTTCTTATATGTGCAGTTTCTTCTGTAAATGATTTGAATTTCTATTGATTCCTCTTTACTTAATTCAAGAAAATATTTCATTTCTCTGCTCAGAGGATTATTCTTGGTATCTTGTTTGCATTTCTTTGATATAGTTGTTACGCTATTCTGCTTTAATCTCTAGTTTGTCATATTTATCACTGAGATCAACCTTAAGGGAATCCAGTTTAGCTTCTAAGTCTAGTTTCTTTTAATTAGCCCAGTAATAGTATTTTATTTTATTTTTCAGTTTTGATCACATTTTTGTTGAAACTTACTCATATCCCCCATGAATAAGTCCATAATTTATGGAAAAGCAACAAAAGAATTTGTTGTTAGATTTTCCCCATTCTTGTCAATTCACTGTCTGTATTCTGCCTCTTGTTACTCGTTTTTAACAAAGAAGAAACATTAAAATTCCTTTTCATGAATTTTCATAATCCTTCGTAAATTCAGAAGAGAATATTATGTTGTTGTTAAGAGTAATAATTAAGTTTCATAGTTTCCTTAATGGTTATATATAATACAACATTAAAAAAAGCATTTGAAATATTACTTCATAAAGTTAATTAAATTGATATTTTTAGAACAATCAAAACAAGTATTGTAATGGTCCTGTTAAATTATCTGTAAAACCATATTTAAAAATAATTATGGGAGTCCCAAGTAGTTTAGTTTAGTTTTAGTTTAGTTTTATTAAATTTATACCCCGCCCTTCTCCCGGAGGACTCAGGGCGGCTTACAGCCAGTTTAAAAACAATAATACAATACAATACAAAATTTAAAAGTGATTAAAAATAGATATTTAACTAGGCCGCTTCTACTTAAAAATTTTGTTAAAACCAATTTAAAATACCCCTAGGCCAGTCCTGCCCGCTGAAATAACCAAGTCTTGAGGGCGCGGCGAAAGGAGGGGAGATCCGGAATCACCCGGATCTCTGGGGGCAGCTCGTTCCAGAGGGTGGGTGCTCCGACAGAGAAGGCTCTCCCCCTGGGGGTCGCCAGCCGACACTGTCTGGTTGACGGCACCCTGAGGAGGCCCTCTCTGTGGGAGCGTATAATAGCAGCATATTGAGTTCAGTAATTAAGTCAGAAAAAGAAAATATGACAGGTTAATGAGGTCTACTTTTGTCAGTCCAAATATCTAAATTTTGCTTTCTCACACCAAAGCAAAGTTATGTCAAGAATGCATACTTTTGATATAAATCAAAAATATTTCTTTAGTTTATGTATTATTGTTGTATAAAACTAGGTTAGTGATTGGAGAAGGAAAAATAAACAGAAGTTACTTTATAGGACCTATGATAAACTACAGATTGTAAAACCTAAGCAAGTAAATCTCAAATTTATAAAGAAAGCTTGAAAGCATGAAATATTACGAAGAAAGTGATTAAGTACTTGATAAGAAATATAGTAGAATAAAAGTCTGTTAATCTATTTACTGCTGGATCTGCTTATAGAGAAAGATGATACAATTCATAATCTACAAGGTTTATTCAGCTTCAGGCTATCCCTGAGGAACAATTTGCTGCTCTGCTGTCTTTATCTTTGCCCGTCTAGTAAGATCCAACAGGTTACCTCTTGTATAATTGGCTAAATAGTGATGGCTCCAGTGTTTGAGAATGCCACCCACTTGGCTGGACCCTGCAAGCCAAAAGGAATCTCAGATAATGTGACCTGGCAGTACCCGGTCACAGCCTTAGATCACCCCCATCTGAGCAGCTTAGATGCCAAGCAGAAAGGGCATGGCAGCTGTGGGAGATCTGCCTGGGAATCGGTCTGGCTTCAGCTCTCTTATTGCCATATTTAACCTGAGTTCATAACTGGGTTTGGTCAGAATCAGTTTCAGAATTTCTCCATGAGGGCTCTGTGTCCTGGAGTATCAGCTCTAGACCAGGGTAAAAAACCAATGCCATACAGGTCAGGACTTGTATTTTATTGGAGCAGGTCTAGTAATAGAATCTTGCAAGTCTGAATTTCCTTTCTCCCCCCCCCCTCCACTCCGGTTTTATCTTCTTGGGAAGGAGGCTTTTCTCAAGTGCATCTGTCAGGTCCCCCTTTTGGGGGCCCTGCCATTCTGCTGGAGGGGGGGGGAGGCTCCAGGCGAGCATTCTTTGCATGCTTTCGCTTTTGCTCTAACCATGGCATGGGAATTAGGGCATGGGAATTAGGGAGGGAGATCCTCAGACTTCAAGGTTGCTGCACCATGAGAATGACCCATTATCTCTTCCATACCTCAGCGCTCTCAAAACAACCTGGCGGCACTGTATTGGCTGCCTGTGGACTGGTTGGGGGGTTGGGTTTTGAAGGGGGAGAATAGCTTGGTGCTTTGCGTGGGAAAGTTAGAGTTGGCCTGACTCTACTACAGCCACTGTCTTTTCAGTAAAAGTTCTACTGATTATCCTCATGGTGTCAAGAGTCATGCTTTCCTGAGAGGCCTGTTGGGGCAGGTCCTTACAGCATCTCTTGGCCTAGGCTCAAGCCCTGCTTACCTGACTCCTCCCTGTCAAGGCCATTCCTGTGACCTCAGCCCTGGGCTTCTCAGTAAACCAAGAGATACGTCAGGAGTATAAGAGCTGCTCCTGCTGTCACCTGGCAACCAGTCAGTGGGTCTGGCTACCCACCTGCTGCAGTGCCCCAGCTTCCAGAGACCCTCTGAAGCCTGGACGGACCCTTCTAAGAGGCCTGACAGCCCTGTGGAGGTCTTGGGTCACAGTCAGTGGCAACTGGATTAGGTAGTGATGTAACCACAACCAACATCTACATGTGACTCCTCTGTATCCAGATCACTGTTGCTCAGAGGCAACAATGAGGTCCAGTATGTGTTTTCCTGCATCTGTTGGGCCAGAGATTGATTAGGGGAAGCCCGTGTAGACCATGAATTGCCTGTCTTTCCCTGAGGAGTTCCCTCACCAACTCTGAGATCAGATCAGAAAGGGAACCACTGGGCAGTAGGACGGCTGCCCTTCCCCAGATGGACGTTACCCTGGACTCACAAAAAGATTTTGCACATTTGTCATGGTCATTATCTTAAGTAGCTCAGGATTCAGATACTTATGGAACCTCCTTTTTCCAACTTATGTCTTTGCCCATAAGATCCAAGGTGATTGGCATACTTGGATCCCATCTATCAAACAGTGTTATTTACAGGACCCAGAAGATGGGCCTTCTCCGTCACCATGCCTGCCCTCTGGAATAGGGCTCCTCCCAAGGTCCGTAGAGTCTGATCCTGCTGCCCTTTAAGAGGACCGGTGTCAGCTGGGTTTCCTGCTTGCCGTTTGCCGCTTGCTTGCCCTCGGCTGCCATGGAAAGGGGTGTGGGCTGTGTGGTATTTGAGTTGGGGAGGTGAGCTGGGGTGAGGTGTTCCCGTGAGAATTGGAAGGGAGGATCGCTCCCCATCATCGGAGTGGCGATGGCGAGACTTCATCAAGGCCAACCATCCTGGGCCTCCAGAGGTGCACGTTGTCTGCTGAAGAGACTTTCTGATAGCATTATGCTTGGCGCTGATTGCCTGCACGGGGGGAGGGCTGTGGGGGAGACTTGGTGGGTAACTATCACATGGTTTTACTCAGATCTTGCCTTGCTTTCATTGCTATCAGTTCATTCTTAGTAAAAGTATCTCATCATTAGAGTTGGGGGTTTTCTTTCTTAGGACTTGAACCGAGGCAGACCTGACAACCTGGCTTTTCCAACAGACAGTGGATAGCACATGGTGTGAATCTGCCACTTGAGTTTTTATTAACTGCTGTCATTTCTTCCCACCTGACACAACACCCTGTCAATACCAGTTGGAGTTGGCCACAGAGAAAGAAGGGGAACCACCCCTAAATCTTGCCACCTACTCCCAACAGCTGAAGCCAGCTAATATCTCTGCTCAGTGGTACTGAAAGCCACTGAGAAGTGAAGGTCCACAAGATGGACGCACTGCTGCCATGCCAGCTCTGCCACTGTTCATCAACAAGCACAACCAGTGCCATCTCTATACTGAACCATAGCTTGAAACCCAACTGAAGTAGGTCTGGATGATCCACTTCCTCTGGGGCCTTTAGGAGCTGCAGTCTAACCACTCTCTCCACCACTCTCTCCCAAAAGCAGAGGTTGGAGTCTAGCAAGATCCCATCCTCTTAAGAAGGGGGCGCAGCACAGCCCCTTCAGGGCAGGGAGAGCCTCCTTCTGTAGAGAGTCAGACACCCCTGCACGGTTCCCATTCCCTCTTCTGTTTTTTCCCCAGAGCTTCTGCTGGCTGCCATTTCTTCCTTGTTAAAATTGTTCTCCTTTTCCCACCTTGGCCTTTGCTTCCCATTTGCGCCCCTCGCTGTGGGTATGTGTGCTGCATATTTGTTAAAGTCCACTTTCCTGAACGCCCAGGTCTTTGCTTGCCCTTAGCTGTGTATTTCTTAACTTAAACATTTGTTTCTGTTCTAGGTGCGGGTTCTGCAAAAAGAGCTTTTAGCCTCCACCTCTGAAGACACCCACCCTTATAAAGAGGAGCTAGAGACGGCCCTGGAGCAGTGTTTTTATTGCCTGTATGGCTTCCCAAGCAAAAAGAGCAAAGCTCGGTACTTGGAAGAGCATTCTACCCAGCAGGTGAGGCTGTCTGGTGCTCAGGAGCAGAGAGGCCTCGTGGCCAGAGATCCCTCCAGCATTTATGATGCCACCATGTGCAAAGCTTATGTCTGTCTCCTCTCTCTCTCTCTCTCTCTCTCTCTCTCTCTCTCTCTCTCTCTCTCTCTCTCTCTATATATATATATATATATATATATATATATATATATATATATATATATATCTTTCCAAAAACAAACTGTGAACACCAGGAGTATATTAAACTATACAAAGTTTAATAACATAAAACATAAAACAAAACTACACCAAGCTTTCGTCGGACTCCTTCCGACTTCGTCAGGG